GTTTGAGAATGATGTACTAAATAGGTACAACATACATCAAAATGATTAATTAAATACACGCATCATATATACGTTTATACGTATCATTGAAATTAAGATAATTCAATAGAAAGTTATTAATTAATACCTGTATCAAGTGTACGATATAAACTAGCCCATGGGATTCTCAGGATAACAATACTAGCAAGTTAATTTTTTAATATAGAACTAAGCCGTACATGCATACAATACATGTACAATTTGTGTAAAAAGAATTCATTTTGAGCCAAAATGAATTCTTTTAAATCCCATTCAACGATTTCTTGCTTGTTTCATTCCATTTTATTTACTAGGATACGAGCAATAAATCACACCAAATTCCAATAATATTTTTGTAATATTTTCATAATGACACTCCAGTTACATTCTTACAAAATTTACGTAACCAGCGCGCAAGATTCACATAATATGTATGTATATAATATGTATGTAAGAGTTAAATAATATACTTATAAGATTCATGTAACATGAGTGTAAGATTCACGCAAGATTCTTGATTTATAATACAATACTTATTTTATTTAGATATCGTTTGCGATATATTCTTATATGATCTTGTATGTTTCTGACCGCGAAATTCGTATGTGAAAATTTTCTTGAAAGACCTCTCAAGAATTTTTCTTGTAAGAATTTGCAACAAGTTATAGTACATAAATTAGATTAATAAATAAACCAAATAGATGATTACAGAGATAATATAGTTAATGGAAAATAGAAATGTAGATATGGTTTTTAGATAATGTATCATGTCATGGTATATTTTTTGCCCAATACGTTCGAAAAGATAGTACAGAATGTCACTAAAATCGAATAATTTCTATAAACAAAATGTTTTTAATGAAAAATTAAATATTATAAAAAATCCTTTTACATGGCACTTGAGGGATCCCTGTAGAGCACAATTATTCAATATATCCTCCATTAGCTTGAATAACGGTTTCTATTCTCGATCTGAAGCGTTCGCACGCACGTTGTAATATAGCGCTATCCATGCTGACGAATGGTGCCTCAATAGCAGTCCTTAATGACGTCATATTGGGATGCTGAGACTTGTTTCTGACCCTTTCAACTACGCTTATATGTAGTACTTATATGTAGTAATCCAAGGGATTTAAATCTGGGCTGTTGAGAGGCCAGAATGAGAGCCGAAGCGAGCAACTCGGCTTGTCCTGGCAGCCTCAGAGAGCATCTGTCATATCTTTAATACGAAGATCCTCCTTGGCAATTCGACGCATTGTTGGCTCGTTTACACCAACAATCGATGCTAATTTTCACAACAATTGCTCTGATAAACGACATGATGCAGATATTCTATAAATGTAGCTGATTTAGCATTATAGCATAGTCAAAAATATATTTTCTTTCAGGTACAAGTACATTCAGAGAATTTTATAATTATGAAAAGAAGAGCATAAGGAACCACAGCACAAGTTATAGTTTGTGATATTTAATTATTATTGCATCAAAAATTGATCATTACAATAAAACATTGAACGTTTCGGCCACAATTCAGGCCATCTTCAGTAAATTAATAATATTCTTAAGACACAGAGTTACATCAAGTTGGAATAAAATTCAACCGTCGTATGTTATAATTGTAAAAAACGTGTTTACATCTATGCGACGTTGCTTCGTATAATAATGTTAGAACGTCAGAAGTCATATCATGAAAAGTGTAGAACGAGAATTTCCAGATTCTATAATTATAATTTAAAATAATTTATTCTATCATTAATATCTTTTAAATGAAGTATAAAACAATAGAATCGTTATCTGTTTTACAGCAAAAAATATAGCGATGAATCTCAAGTATAACCATTGCACAGATAGAAATTTGTCGTGACATTATGTGTTGTTATTGGTCATATCATATGTTTTATCGTTATTTATATCCATGAGTCAAACAGTTTGGAAAGTTCTAGAATTATTTATTAATTGCGAGAGAGATTTTTCTTTAGAAGAGGAAGATAAACATCAGGCAAACCTTCAGTATCACTTTGTTTACTGATCCCACTTATTTGATATTTTATATGTATCATTTCTGAAATTCTTCGTTTCATTAATGATTGTTTTGTATCTAAAATTTTTACGTTATCCCAATCAAATTTATGCATCTCGTTCAAACGGTGACGTGAAACCACTGATATCTCAGAAGTAGGTTTCTTTATATCAGTTTTGTGTTCTTTTATACGAGTTTTTAATTTCCTCTTTTTTGTTTGTTTTTGAGGGAGGAGAAAATCTTCGCCAGCCCTCACCCGAGGGGGATCCCGAAGGGACACCTATCGGGGAGGGAAGATACCCAGCGGTCCGCACCGCTAGGTGTGCCGGATTCAACCGCCCCGTGATCCCAAGGGGTACCAAAGGATACACCGGAGCGGCCGCCTACCAACTAAAAATTCCCCCCTTTTGTGTACTACAACACAGACTAAAGGAAGGTACCCTGGAACCGCTTTCTTGCATATCATCAGGGTACCAATCTATAGAGCTACTAGGCTCTTTACCGCCATACGGGTTCATTAATCCTATTTTTGCAGCATATTACTGCCTCTCCGCAATATACACAGAAGTGAGTAAATGACTCACTCCAACGTGAATATAAAAACATAATTAATTAGCTTAAATTTACACGCAATTCGCTCATAACACAACTATTTACATAATTATATACAGAAATATATACAAAAATATACACCTGCACAACATGCAAGCGGCGCAGAACCACTATGGCTCCTCGTCGGAGCTATGCGTATACGGAGAAGTGATCAGCGCACCCCCTGGTGGATTTAATCCTCGCTCACGAGCGCGCTCATCCTCCTCCTTCCGCCGCATAACCGCTTCGCAGAAGTCCGCAAAAACGGACCATGCTTCGGGAGAACGCACGATGGCCCTCACCACCGCTCGAAAGGTTCTGTCAATCCCCACTATCTCCAGCAGCTCACTCCTCCGCTCCGCCCAAGCCGGACAGAACAGAAGAGTGTGCGCTGCCGTGTCCATCGCCGCTCGATAGAATTGACAGATCGGAGATTCCCGCCGTCCAATCCTGTGTAAGTAGGATTCAAATACCCCGTGTCCTGTAAGAACCTGAGTGATGTGGTAGGTGAGGGCACTGTGCGCCCTCCCCATCCAGACCCCCAAGTCCTCAACGAAGCGCCCCTCACAATCGCACCAGAGCGTCCAGGAGGCAAGTCAAGCAATCGCTCACGCCACCTCGAAACAGAGCGGTGACGCTCCATCTCGATTAGCTCCATCGCTCCATCTCGAGCTCACCCGATGCGCAATACTACCGTCCCGAACTATAATTTCCTGCCGCCGAAGGTAAGACCTTAATCGGTCCGCGACTATATCGAATGGGACCATCCCCGAGAGGACAGCCACAGCTTCGTGGGAAATTGTACGGTATCCACGGATGATCCTGAGGGCAAGCTGCCGCTGCAGCCTACGCAGGTCCCTCAGGATCCCGCGATCACCGGCAACAGTCTGCACCCAGATCGAAGCGCCGTATAAGACGACCGACATGACCGCCGTCGCGTATAAACGCCATCATCGCTCGCCAGGGCCGCCAATGTTGGCAATAAGACGCGCCAAAGCCATCGCCATGCCCCAGGCTTTGGGCAGGAGAAGGCGGAAATGGTCCCGGAAGGTCCACCGCGAATCCAGAGTTAGACCCAGGTATTTCACGGTGGACCCAATCGAAACCACCGCCCCTCCAATCCCAATAGTAGCTCCGACCGGTGTCTCTTCAGCCTAGAAGACCACAGCCTCGGTCTTGGCAACCGAGACTTTAAGTCCAAAACGCTCTATGGAGCGGATGAGAAAGGTGATCCCCACCTCAGCCCTCACATGGGCCTCCTCAAAAGAACCGGCATGTGCCACCAAAAGGGTATCATCCGCATAACATATTACAGAACAACCGATTGGCAATCTAAGCCTCAAGACGGAATCATACCCGATATTCCACAGGGTCGGTCCCAATACTGAACCCTGTGGAACTCCGCACGAAATAGACGCGCGCATCAAACGATCCCCTCTATCGACGTAAGCCAATTCACGACTGGATAGATAGCTATCAAGGATGCATCTAAGATACTCCGGCACTCCCTTCTCTTCCAAGGCCTCCCCGATGACCGACCACGGGAGAGAATTGAAGTCATTGGCTATATCTAGTGACACAGCCATCACCACACCCCCATCCCGCAGACCCTCATCAACGGATACCCTCAGGCTCCAGATCGCATCAATCGTGGAGCGATGCTGGCGAAAGCTAAATTGGCCGTCCGCAATACCTCCCGATGCATCCAGAAAACTATGCAACCTACGAACCAAGACTCTATCAAAGAGTTTCCCCGCCTCGTTTAACAGGCAAATAGGCCTGTATGAGGACGGGGAAAGATCCGGTTTACTCGGCTTCTTGATGAGCATCAGTCTGGCCCCCTTCCAATCGCGTGGGAAGTGCCCCTCCCTGAGGCAACTCGTAAAACATCCAGCCCACAACCGAGCGAGACATCTCATGGTATCCTTAACGACGATTCCCGCGACATCTGGACCAGGAGCCTTCCCGGACTTGACCTTAAGCCCGGCCTCCAAAACCTCCTCGATCGTGACCGCGAGATCATCCCGCCAAATGAACGGCACAGCAGTGCCCGATGAAGAGCAGTCCGACGGGAAGAGCGCCCCGACGATCTCAGGGGGAAGCACCTCCACGATCAAAGCGCCGCCCGCACGCAGTTTCCCAAGAACAACCCGGTAGGGCATCCCCCAAGGGTCCCTATCAAGGTCGTCTACCAACTCGGTCCACAATTTCATCTTGGAGCGGACGATCGCTGCCCTAAGATTACGCCTAGCTTCCCGCAAGGCATCCCAAAACCCTCGCAGGGATTCCTGAGAGATTCTTCTCCCACGCGCACGCGTAAGGCGCCTTCTGCACGCATTGCACGACGAAGCTCCGCGATTTCCTGGTTCCATCAGTAAGTGGTGGGTCTCCTCGGCAACCCCCTTCTGGGCATGGAGACATCCCGGAGCAGTCGATCCATCCGTTTAGCTCCAAGAGCAGCGTTCTCAGGAATACCGCTCCAAGCCGAAAAGATCGCCGCGGCTTCCAAAAGATCCGGATCAATTCTTCCGATAGCCCATCTCGGAAAGGCCTTAAGTGCAGTCCTTCCAATGACGGGCCCAGCCAGAGAGGCATCTTCAATGAATACATATTTGTGGTCCGAGAGGGACTCCACCTCAGATCCCACACGCCAAGAGGTGATCCTCCTGGCCGCAGAAGACGACGCCAGTGTGAGATCGACGCAAGACACCCCACGCGGATGCACGCACGTCGGTTCTGAAGTCACGTTAAGTATATGTATGTCCAAGAGACCCAGCCAGTCCGCCAGGAGTCTCCCCCTCCTGTTAGGTTGACCAGGATCCCAGGAGGGCGAGCGTGCATTAAAATCACCCATCACGATGACCGGGCGTCCAGGCACTCTCTCCTCCATCTCACGTAAGTCTCGCAAAAATGCACCGTCACTAAGACTAGGAGGAAAGTAACATGATACGATAGTCACATCCCCCCAGTCCACCGCTGCAAACCGCTTACCCCTCCATCGAGGAGAGCACGGCACCCTCAAACGGCTCCACTGCCAGGTGACAGCGGCCGAAGGAGGAGTATCCGTGGAGGTCAGCCAGCGTTCGTCAGGGGTCGCGATTTGGCTCCGATACCGCAACCAGACCCAGATCAAACTCCTAGCAATTAGGTCCTGCGAGGGTCTCGATCGATTGAAATTGATCTGAGCCAATCTAGCCATCGACCGTATCCATGACCGTCTCATCCGCAAGAACCGGAGCCCCCCGATCGATCCCGGCGGATGTGCCCGCCACATTGCTCACGTTTGAGTCATTTGTTGGCACTTGTCCACGACCATTGAAAGGCACGCACTCCGTCGCTCCAGCGCGATGTCCCGTCGCGAGTCTTCTGGTCGCACAAACTGGACAATGCGGGGGCAGCCGGCAACCGGCGGCCCATCGCTTCCGCCACAATGAAAACACCAGGTGGAGCGATCCACCACACTCTGGCAGTTCATCCTGGTATGTCCAACCGCCAAACACCGGAAACACTGAAGTCTCCGCTTCGCTAGGGGTACAATACCAGCGGAGGACCAACCGAACCTAATGCGTCCAGCCTTTATCAATCTATTGGCACACACCAGGGGACATTGCACCCACACCGTGTTAAGACCCCCACGCCCTGGCCTAAAGGGACCAGTCCTTATGTCTGTGGCAGGGACTTCCCCGATGGTAGCCACCGCCTTGATCACCTCCTCTGCAGAGACAGACTGATCCACGTCGATCAGTCTGATCTCCGCGCGACGAACAGAGCGCACCACACTTACCCTGTCCTTAAATTCACTCTCCGCCAGCACCGCCTTGAGACGATTCACGAGCGCCTCCGCCTTGGCACCCGCTTCCTCGCTTCCAGGGATCTCGATGAGAAGGCCACCCGCCTGCGCTTTCCGGATCCGTGTGTTGGCGATATTCAGATCTTCCAGGGAAATCTTCCCTCTCGCCAACCTCACCACATCCGCATATGACGGCCCGGAATTGTCCGCCCTCTCCGCACATCTTAAGAGTCAGCCGCCGTCTTTGGGGCGCGAAAACTAGATTCCCTCACGACAGGGCGGCTTGGTACTACCCTCGGACCCCGCACCGTAGGGTATCCGCACCCTTTCGACTCCCAGATATGCCACCCGCAACTGCGGCATACGAGACACGGGCAGTCTTGGGTACATCACTGCTGGTACCATCCCGACGCGTACTAACCCCACTCAAGGGGAGAGGCACGGTACCCCAATTCATTCTTATTTCCAGCTTTCGCACTGGGAACCTCCGCTTTCTTTCCTTTCTTCTTCCTAACTTTCCTACGTGCACGCTTGTAGCCTGCCACCGTCCACACCTCGCCATCCACGGGATACGTCGGCAAAGGCGACGGAAGCCTCACTCGCTGAGCGCCCGTTGATATAGCCTCACTTCCTTCCGCGAACAGTCCCCTTGTCCACTCGCGAATCACTGCAACCGTCCGAAGCGATCCGCGACGAGCCCACCAAAATGATACGTCCTGATCTGTCAACTTTGGTGGGCCGAGGTGACACATCCTCCAACTTTTTGCGAGTTCCACCTAGAGACGGCCTATACACCGGAGACCTATTTGGAGAAGTCTCCCAGTCTCCCGCCCCACTTCATCCGCGACAGAGTCCCGACGTCGCAAAGAACGTCCCCGAGAGCGGCGCGAAACAGGGGAGTCACATACAGGGATGATCTCGTCCAAAGAAGTAAGATCCCTGCCGCGGTCCCTATCCCTCATCCTCTGCACCGTGCACTTAAGGGACTCAACCTGATTCCTCAGGGAGACCCTCTCGCGACGCAGTAAGTCTCCCTGCGAAGTCTTATGACCTTCCTCTTCAGGGCCAGATTATTGGCCCTAATCTCGTCCGAAGGCCCCGATCTCTTGTCAATGTCCGAGACAAGACGCTGCACCGCAATCTTAGCAACATTGACTCCTTGAACCTTAATCTGTCGGCGAAGAGCTCCATTCATTGTGAGGGTCCTCCTCTCAGCCTCACCAGCAATGTCCAGGACCCGCAACGTCTCAGCCACCACCGCCTGCGGCGACAACTT